GCGGGGGGCCGCAGCTCCGAGACCGGTCGGTCCTCTCCCCAAGAGGTGCTTCCTCCCGCTGCTCGTCGGGCCTGTCCCTCATCTGCCCCCTCTCCGCTCTCCCCGTCCCCGCCCCCCCACCCCCGTGGCGCTCCCCCATCACACTCCGCCTGCCTTTCCTTACCCATGCCTCCTTCTTTGCCCCTACGTTCCCCCTTGCCCTCCCAGTGCCCTGCGGACCCAGCGGCATTTACGAGAGGCCGCATCGTCCAGTCACCGCCTCTTCTCTTGCACGCACGCCCAGACACGATTTGTTGGTGCACTCGGATTGGCGGATACACGCGTACACGGATCTATCTATCTATCTATATATATATGTATATTCTCATACGCACCTCTCCGAGAGAGTAGAGCTCAGAGGCGATTAATGCGTCCGTCGTTCGCGATTTTTCTGGCCGTTTCGCTCGGGACATCCTCGAACTTCTGAAAATCGGTGGCACCCCTCACGCAGATCGTGACGTCAGGGTCCAAAAACACATAGGATTTCCAACATTTTATCTTAAAACCTTCAAAAACACATGGTAATTTCAATGATTTTGACTCCGATTCTCAGAGAATGGCGGTTTCGCCTGAGACATCCTCCCAAAATCGAGCCCCAGACCCCTCCTCGGAGCCTCCTGGGGGCCTCCTGGAACCTCCTGGGGCCTCCTGGGGCTTTCTGGACCTTCTGGTACCCCAGACCCCGCCTCGGAGCCTCCTGGAGTTCTCCTGGGCCTGCTGAGGCCGCCTGGGGCCTCCTGGGGCCTCCTGGGGCTTCAGAACTACATGCACACACAGAGACACAAATCACGCCCAACACATCACACGCTAGACAAACATAACATACACACACAACACCGACAACACGCAAAAAGCACGCACCACACAAAGCACACATCACACACACACACAACACTCACAATCCTGGGGCCTCCTGGAGCCTCTCCTGGTATCCAAGTCGGGCCTCCTGAGGCTTCCTGGGGGGCCCTGGTACACACATCGCAAGGTGTGGCAACCCCACTTGCGCTCGAGTGCGACTTCGCTGTTGCATGTCACTCCTGCTTCAAACGCCCCTTCAGCTTGTTGTATGAGCCTGGGCACACACGTGCCACTTGTATATATATGTGTGTGTGGTTGTATATGCATATCATGTGCGTATGTCTATGTCTATCTGTATATATATATGTATATATATATATATATGAAGATTGGGAACGAGAGATAGAGAGCGGACAAAACGAATCCTGGACATCTTGTCGAACGACCCAATTGTATGCAGTTCCGAGTGTTGCGAGGCAGATCCGTGCCAAGGAAGGGTTGGAAGATGCGATCATCGACTCACTGGTCATGGACCAGTTCGGGACTGAGATCCCCCATACCTCCATTTCGCCTACGTTGCTGAAGCGGCGCCTTCGTCTTGCTGCACTGCACGTGCATGAGTTTCTAACGCAGCCAAGCTTCTCCCTTCTGAGAAGCCCCGCCGCCTTCTGAGAGTGCCTTGTCGGTCTCACTTTCCCCTTTCGCTCGCCGCCGAAGCAAGGATGAGCGACTTCCCAAGGGTACCCGTTCATCCTGCCCTCTTTCGGTCATCTCAGGCTCATCCTCACAAGTTTCCTAGTATTGAAGTCCTGGGAGGTTGAATTCTGGATCGGCGTTGGTATCTTTGCGGTCGATAGTCGGTTTATTCTGGGTTGATCGGGCCTTCGGCTTGATCCGGCTTAATCCCGGGCTTTATCTGGTGTAATCCCGGGCTTAATCCGGCTTATTTTGGTGAAGTGGCACTGTAATTGGGCTGAATCGCTCCGCTCGAAAGCTCTGGCATGGGCGTCCAAGGCCCTTGCATCTTTACCTCAGGAGGGACAAAAGCACACAGGCACAGAATCGCCGTTTCCTCGGAACAGTTGAACATATGGGGAATCCTGGGAGTTGTTGCCTCTTTTCGGCAACGCGCAGAGGGGGGTAGGGGGAGGGGGGAAGGCTTCTTAGGAGCACCCCTGCTTCCCAGAAGGCGCGGGCCTCGTCTGCAGATGTAAGGCCAGCTGCCCTCTAAGAATTAGCCTCCCTTCTGAGAAGCCTTCCCCCCTCTCGCTGCCCCCAGGTGCGCGCCGCCAGCGGAGCCTGCCAACTCCCCGGCTGAGTCTGCCGCAGGAGCTCCCGAGAAAGTCCTGGAGGCCTCGCGGGGCAGCTCGAGACCCAGTTTGCGTCGGATCCACGTCGGACCCACGTCGGGTCCCCGTCGGATTACGTCGAGTTTCCATCAGATCCACGTCGAATGTGCGTCGGACTTGTGCGCGCCGCCAATCGCGATTTGTTCACAACGTCGCCCCCCCAGAGGTCCGTACCCGTTCCCCAGGACCAGTTCTTCATCCCGAGTCGCTTTTTGGACGGTCCCGAGGCCAGGGAAGGGCCCCCCGGAGGTCGAAAGTAGCGACCCCCCCCCGTCGTGATTTTTTTCACAGCGCGAGGAGGTTTGCGCTCTACAGTCGGACTCGATTGGACAGGACACGCGAGAGGACACAAGACCCTTCCGAGGGCCGCACTGCCGCAGGAATGTAGGAAGCATGGGTCGCGAGACACAGGACACAAGGGTTCCCTTGATTTTGCAGGGTCGACCTACTAATCTGGGCCGACTATATTCACTATGCTTACCAGCCTGGAACATATCCCTATCCTTATGCTGGGCACCTCCTCATCACGATGCCAGTCTTAGGGATTCCCTTATTTTTTGAGGGCGAATCCCTAAGATTGTCATCGCCTTTTGGCGTGTCAATCTTAGGGATAGGGATACGTTCGAGGCTGGTAATATGCATGCGTGTGTCCCCGGGCCCCCTCCCCCTCGCGCGTCCTTGCTGCACCGCTCCTGCGGCCGTGCCGAGGCCGCCGCCCGCCCGTCGCGCGAAGCGCGGCCGGCTCCGCCTCGTCGTCGTCGTCGTCGTCGTCGTCGTCGTCGTCGTCACCGTAGCCATTTTGGCTCAAGGCCAATGCTTCCGCGGGCTGAGCCCGCATTGGCAAGACTGGATACCGCTAGTCCGCGGCAGCTTTCATCCCTCACGGAGGTCCCTCGATCCCCAGTGCGCGACCAGCGGCTCCCAGCGGAGTGCGCACCTGGGGCGAGGGGTTCGCTAGCCTCCACCCCTCACCAGACATGTCCAAGCCTGGCTATGTCAAGTGTGCGGCGTGCTCGTACAACTGGACGTGGAACGGCAAAGACAAGTGCTTCGGCTGCGGCAAGTCGCTCGAGCTGGCAGTCACCCCTTGGCGCAGCCAGCAGCCGCGCGGGGCCTGGGACACGCGCTTGCACGCCGCGCTGCAGGGTGAGCAGGCAGCGGGCTGGCAGGACGGCTGGAAGCCGTGGAGCGCATGGCCCAAGTCCAAGGGTGGCCGCAAGCGGCAGCCGCAGCTGCAACCCTCGTCCAAGCCGCCCGACGCCGAGCCGACTGACACTGACTCCCTCCTGGCCATGCTGGACAAATCTCTCTCGGAGGAGGGCCGCGCCGAGCTGGCACTCTTCAAGGACAAGATCGCGCCGCCCAAGCCAGCTCAGCAGGAGTCACTCGACGCGAAGTACCAGCGTCTCCTGGCAGCTGAACGTAAGGCAGCGGCAGCACTTACGAAGGCGGCTACCTCGGAGGGCAAGGCCAAGGACTGGGTCATCGAATGCGAGGCCCACACCCAGCACTGCGCGGAGGCCCTGGGTGACGCCCAGGCCGCGGTGCAGGAGACCCTCGACGCGATCAACGAGGCGCGCGGCACGCGGGCGCCCTCGGCATTCACGTCGACGGCAGGTGGCCTCAACCTCAGCAAGCTCCTCCTCAGCGGGGAGGACCTCGCCTTCGAGGAGGGCGAGGCCTTCGACACCTCCGACCTCGAGCTCGACGCCGAGGACTCCAAGAAGTGGGCCGACCTCAAGCAGCAGTTCCTCGACGAGCTCAAGACGAAGGTCAAGGAGGTCTTCGGCTCAGGCGCCACGGCCATCCAGCAGCGCAAGCAGGAGCTGGAAGCCTTGCGCAGCAGGCTCCGCGCCAAGCGGCCTCGCACCGAGGCCGACGGCACTGGGGCTCAGGCCGCCGAGGCGGGCACGGGCAGCGCCGCGGCACCACCGGCTGCTGCAGCTGGCGGCGGTGATGGCGTTCGCCCTGGCCCTGAGGCTGCACCTCCTACCGCTGCATCCGCCGCCGTTCCTGCCGCAGCCAGTGCAGCCAAGCGATCGGACGCAGCCACCAAGCTTGCTGAGGCCGCGAGGGCTCGCGCCCACGAGGAGCGAACCAAAGATAAGGAGGACCTTTAGCCAGCCCAGCTTTCGCACGATCTACGTGCGTAACATTACCGACTGGGGGCCAAAGTGCAAGAAGATCGTGAAGTCGCCGCCGTTCCAGGCGGACATCCTCGGACTGTTGGAGACTCATGAGAGCGAGCGCACCAGTGACGCAGTGCTTGCAGAGTTTGATGCATCAGCTTGGAAGGCAGTTATCTCACCGTCGCGAGCCGACGGTACAGTGCAGAAGGCAGGTGGAGTGGTCCTGGGAGCTCGACGCCACCTGCAGTGTTCATCACTGGGCCACCTGGCCCGCTACCGCAATCAGACAAAGGGACAGTTGCGCCACAGGAAGCCAGAGCCGCACTTCGTCGCAGGGCCCATTGACTTCTGGGACTTCCAGGCGCTCACCATCCAGATGCATCATGGCCAGCTCACGGTGCTCATCGTGTACCTCACCACCTCCATCGGGGTGGCTGGCCAGAACCTCATCAAGTTACAGAACCTCGGGGCCGTCATCAAGAGTCTCATGGGGGACTGGATCGCCATTGGCGACTGGAACCTGGTGCCTACGGAGCTGGAGGAGTCAGGATGGGTCAACTACGTCGACGGCCGCATCTGCAAGCCCTCCAATGTCTCCTTCACTCAGTTCACAGGTGGCCGCATGTTGGACTACGCTGTCATCGGAGGGCCAGGTCATCACGTGCCCGCCAAACTCTTTGCGGAC